AGAACCATGGCAGATGCCATCTTTTTCTGGCGCTGGGCTTCTGTGGTGAGCCATCTAGGAGGGCGGGGGAGGTGGGTGCCAGGATTGAAAGTTTCAATCTCAGCCTGGACTGTAGCAAAGGTGGAGGTAGTGGGGATGCCGTGAATGATGACCTTTTGCCAGACCTCATCCTTTCTGAGGCCATTGGCTGCTGGGATGGTGGCTCTGATAGCCTCCTCAATGGCAAAGCGGTAGTTTTTGAGAACAGGGGAGGCAGGGGTATTGTCCTTGGTAACGAGGAGGACATGGTGGTTGGGCGTGAACTCTATGTTAGAGATAAGCTGTTTCTTGATGGCTGTGTTGACAGCATCGCGGATGGTAAGGTGGTTGGTGTTGTCTGGTAGGGCCGTTCCATCTCTTTCAATCACAATCGTAAGGTCGCGTTTGGTGAGAAGGGACAGGAGAGGAGTTTTGTTTGGCAAGGTGGTAGAGGGTTTGACTGGGGCTGTTCTGGCAGCTTTCTGGGCCCAGGTTTGCGTGGTAGGGGGTGCTGGTAGGGTGGACTGATGGGTAGTTGAAGGTTGTTGTAGGAGTTGCTGTGACTGAAGTTGCGCAACTTGATTGGTGAGGTTGGTGATCATGGATTTCAGGTCCTCTGTATCCTGAATATGGCGATCTTGGACGACTTTGAGGTGTTTCTCCATGGCAGTGAAGGTGATTTGGAGGATTTTGTATTTGGTGATCATAGCGTTAAGATCTTCTCTGAGTTGAACAACGTAGGTGTGCAGGGGGTCTGAGGCAGAGGCTTCTTCCTCTAGAGGTTGAAGAGAGGTGCCAACCGTGTAAACTGGTGATGGGGTATCCTCAGCCATCTGAGTGTCATCAGGCGAGGTTGGGGTTTGGGTTGGTAGGGGGTTGAAAGGAGGTGCAAGAGGGTTTGCAGCCCCCTTTCCTCTGCCTTTGCCTTTGGGAGGCATCAGAGGGGCCGGGAGTGGGACTCAGTTGATAGAAGTGATGAAAAACAAATGATAAAGGATGATTTGTTGATGAAAAGTCTGTAAAAAGGGTAGGGGAAGCGGTGAGAGTTGGCTGTTAGCCAATGAGGTGAAAGCTCGGCGAAAATTTTGGTGTGGTTTTTTCTTTCACTGTGGTTGTAACGGCAACGGAGTCTAGTGGGGGGTGTTGTTGCATTGAGTTGGGTGATGACCGAATTCCAAGCATCTGGAGCATTGAGTGTCAGGACCAAAGGCCAAGTAGCGTTGTACCTTAAACTTCCTGCCAAAGAGTGAGAGGCCTCTGCTGAGGGCTTTTTCTGTAGAGTCTTTGCCGGCAATCGTGAGGACCATGGCAGAAGCTACCATGTCCTTCCCTCGGGCTTTAGTGGTGAGCCACCTAGGTGGACATGGGAGGTGGGTGCCAGGATTGAAGGTCTCAATCTCAGCCTGGACTGTGGGAAAGGTAGAAGTGGTGGGGATGCCATCAACAATGACCTTTAGCCAGACCTCATCCTTTCTGAGGCTACTAGCAGCAGGAATGGTGGCTCTGATAGCCTCGGCAATGGCAAAGCGGCGGTTTTTGAGCACAGTGGAGGCAGGGGTATTCTCCTTCGTGATGAGGAGGACGTGATGGTTGGGGGTGAATTCAATGTTGGAAATCAATTGCTTCTTGATTGCTGTGTTCACAGCCTTGCGGATGGTACGGTGGTTGGTATTGTCAGGTAGGGCTGTCCCATCTCTTTCAATGACAATGGTGCTGTCGCGTTTGGTGAGGAGGGACAGGAGAGGAGTTTTGTTTGGTGAAGAGGTAGGGGGTTTGACTGGGACTGCTCTGGCAGCTTGTTTGTTGCTTTTGATATTAAGGAATTGTTTCTACCATGGCTAATGCTCCATGCAGGTTCTTGTACGTGAACAAAGAATATATAAGTTAAAGAAAAAAAAGACACATGCTTAGCGTTCAGAATCATCAGCGAACGGAGAAGGGATCTTATCAATATATTTGTTATACTTGAATGCATACTTTTATGACAAGCTTTCTTGACCAACTCGTTGAGAAACCTTATTGGCCCCAGTTACAATTAGCCCAACTTAGAATTGGCTGCTCCCTAACATCTCACTCTTTGGCAGGCAGGTTAAGGTACAATGCTACCTTGCCTTTGACCCTGACACACAATGCTCCAGATGCTTCCAATTTGGGCACCACCCTACCCCATGCAATATTACCCCCCACTGTGCTATCAGCTCTCCGGGATATGCAGCCCACCTCCACACTTGCCGAAGATCAGACCACCCTACCAAGCACAAGGCTTGCCTCCATGCAACCATCCTGTGCCTCAACTGTGGCAACAATCACCTTGCCACTTCCAAGGAGTGTCCTGCCTACCTACATGTACACCAGGCAGCTACTGAGAGGAGGAATAGGACTGCTCAGGTTTTTTTACATGTATTTCCTTTATCTGTTAGGCTTTAGGTGGGGAGAAGGATTTATTTGGTTGTTTGCGCTTTGGCTGGAGGGCTGAATGAAAAGATGACACTATCATGTAGTAAGAGCCGGATCTATAGCCCTGGTGCTTGAAAGTACCCTCATGTATGCAGTGCCACTTCATAAGCTTTGGCTCCATAAGCGAGATAATTAGATATAATAATAATCATAATGGTGCTCAGGCCTCTCATCTTCACTATCGGCCTCCTCCTCTTGCATGGGCCCCCAGGTCTCTTGAGCGAGCGGATAGCGATCCCAGACATTTCTGTCAAAAAAGAACTAATAGCCACCAGCTGGCTCAGGCATCTGGTCGCCCTCCTACTCTCCCTCCCCCTGATGTGACTCTACGACCATGAGGTCAAGGGGTTCCTTGCTCTCCTAATGGTTCGTAAGAAGTCAACGCTGGATGTCCTCATCTTCATGTGAGAAGATGAGACCTGAGAGAGAGAGAGAGTTTCAGGTTTCTTGACGTACTGACCATGGGCGGAGCCAGAGGCTATGAAGCTGTGACAGTATAGTGCCGGACAACCAAAACCAGCCCACTTGGCCACCTTGATGTAAAATTTCTAAATTGGAAATAGCCTCTCTTTCAGCAGGTATACTGGAAATCCATCTAGTAAAGTTGTTTAAATAATGAATTAGAATAGATATATGGTTGTTGTTTTCACTTATAGTCCTCCAGGAGGTTGTTGTGGTGGTTTTGCTCAAAGTTCAAGATGTTGTCTATCCTTATAAAATAGCCCCTTGCAATAAGATTCCAGTCATTGATTTTGAATTCATCCATAAGATAAAGATTATACAGAAATCATTGAATCCTTTTAAGAGGGTTCCTTTACAAAATTACCAGAGGAATTATTTTTAAAGTTTTTTCTCAAATATTAATAACTCTATATGTCCAGATTTTCCGAGAGCTTGGGATGGGTGGGCTTGTTTTGGTTGTCTGGCACCATACATGATTGTAGTGCTTCCCACTACCGGTCCCCAATTCCATCTCCTCCATCATTGTATCCCCTGGTCACTGGGCCTTCTGCCATCCTATTTCATTCTATTCCTCCACCTGGCCTGCTGCCATCCTCCATTCTCTCCATCTCTCCACCTCTGTCTCCTCCCATTCATATCCCAGTCCTCCTTCCTCCTCTTCCCAATTTCTATCCTCCACCCCACTACTTCCATTGCCACAGCCCTCACACTCTGGCACTTGTTGCAGGTGCCCTCTCCTTGTTCCAACCCAACTCTTGCTCACAAACTGTCATAAAGCCAGCAGTCCAGTCTTAGATCCAAGAACATCGGGGGGGTTATTATTATTATTATTATTATATGTCATTATCTCTCTTATGGAGCCAAAGGCTATGAAGCGGCACTACATACATCAGGGTACTCTCAAGTACCAGGGCTATGGATCCATCTCTGGCTACATGATAGTGTCATCTTTTCGTCGAGCACCCCGGCCAAAGCGCAAACAATGAAATCCTCCTCCCCGCCTATTGCCTAACAGATAAAGGAAATACAAAGTAATAAAACCGAAACAGCCCTGCTCCTCCTATCAGTGGCTGCCTGGTGTGCATGCAGGTAGGTAGGACACTCCTTAGAGGTAGCCAGGTGGTTATTGCCACAGTTGAGGCAGCGAATTGTGGTGTGAAGGGATGGCTTGCATTGATAGGACAGTCTGATCTTCTGCAAGTGTGTAGGTGGGCTGGGTGTTCCTGAGAACAGATTGCGCAGTGGGGGGTTTTGGTGCATTGGGTTGGGTGGTGGTCAAACTCCAAGCTTCTGGAGCATTGAGTCTCAGGGCCAAAGGTGAGGTAACGCGGCACCATAAACTTCCTGCCAAAAAGTGACAGGCTGCTGCTGAGGGCTTTGGCTGTGGGGTCTTTCCCCCCAATCGTGAGAACCATAGCTGATGCAGCTTTGTTCTGGCGTTGGGGTTCAGTGGTGAGCTATCTAGGAGGGCGGGAGAGGTAGGTGCTAGGGTTGAAGGCTTTAATCTCTGCCTGGAGTGTGGGGAAAGTAGTGGTGGTTGGGATGCCGTGTATGATCACCTTGTGCCAGACTTCATCTTTTCTGAGGCCAGAGGCGGCAGGAATGGTAGCTCTAATAGCTTCCTCAATAACAAAGCGATGGTTTTTGAGGACAGTGGAGGTAGGAGTGTTATCCTTGGTGATGAGGATTATTATTATTATATGTCATTATCTCGCTTATGGAGCCAAAGGCTATGAAGCGGCACTACATACATCAGGGTACTCCCAAGTACCCGGGCTATGAATCCGTCTCTTACTACATGATAGTGTCATACTTTTCGTTGGGCACCCCGGCCAAAGCGCAAATAATGAAATCCTCCTCCCCACCTAAAGCCTAACAGATAAAGGAAAAACAAAGTAATAAAACCTAAACAGCCCTGCTCCTCCTATCAGTTGCTGCCTGGTGTGCGTGTAGGTAGGTAGGACAATGCTTAGAGGTCGCGAGGTGATTGTTGCCACAGTTGAGGCAGAGGATTGTGGTGTGAAGGCATGGCTTGCCCTTGGTAGGGCAGTCTGATCTTCCACAAGTATGGAGGTGGGCTGGATGTTCCTGTGAACAGATCGGGCAGTGTGGGGTCTTGGTGCATTGGGTTGGATGGTGGCCAAACTTCAAGCATCTAGAGCATTGGGTGTCAGGACCAAAGGTGAGGTAACTTTGCACCTTAAACTTCCTGCCAAAGAGGGAGAGGCCTCTGCTGAGGGCTTTGTCTGTGGGGTCTTTGCCTGCAATCGTGAGAACCATGGCTGATGCAGCCTTGTTCTGGCGTTGGGCTTCAGTGGTGAGCCATCTGGGAGGGCGGGGGAGGTGGGTGCCAGGGTTGAAAGCTTCAATCTCTGCCTGGACTGTGGGGAAGGTGGTGGTGGTTGGGATGCCGTGAATGATGACCTTATGCCAGACTTCATCTTTTCTGAGGCCAGAGGCGGCAGGAATGGTAGCTCTGATAGCTTCCTCAATAACAAAGCGATGGTTCTTGAGGACAGTGGAGGCAGGAGTGTTATCCTTGGTAATGAGGAGGACATGGTGGTTAGGCGTGAACTCAATAGTTGAGATAAGCTGTTTTTTGATTGCTGTGTTGACAGCATCGTGAATGTGGAGGTGGTTGGTGTCATCTGGGAGGGCAGTGCCATCTCTTTCAATAACAATGGTACGGTCGCGTTTGGTCAAAACTTCAGCTGGTGAAGTTCTGTTTGGCGTAGTAGTAGCGGGGCGGGCAGGGAGTGCTTTGGCTGTCCTCTGGGCCCAGGTTTGCTGAGGTGGGGGGTTTGTGAGGGTTGGGGGTGGGGGAGCGGGGGTGGAGGCTTGCTGTTGAAGCTGGTCTTGTAGGTGTGAAATTTGTTGGTTGAGTTCGTCAATTTGCCCTTTCAAGATAGCAGTGTCACTGATGTGTCTTTGCTGGACAACACTGAGGTGGTTGATGAGTGATTGGAAGGAGTCCTCAAGGTAGTTGACTCGTAGTTTGGTGTTGAAGGTAGTGTCTCTGTCAGGGTTGTCTGGCTCCCATCGGGACCACTGAGCAGAGCCAGGTGCAGGCTGGTTTGGAGTAGCGGGAGGCTGGACAGTATCCACAGGAGAAGGGATGTCTTCATCCATGTGGGTGTCTCCAGGCGTGGTTGGAGCTGGGGTACTCGGGTGGGGTTGGAATGGGTGTGCCAGGGGGTAAGCAGCACCCCTGCCTCTGCCTCTAGCCCGTGGGGGCATCAGAGGTGATGGGGGAAGGACTCAGTTGATAAAAGGTGATGGAAAACAAATAATAGAGTATGATTTGTTGATGAAAAGTCTGTAAAGTGGGTGGGGAAGCATGAAGATTTGGTTGTTGACCAATGAGGTGGGGGCTTGGCAAAAAACTTGGTGTGGTTTTTTCTTTCGCTGTGGTTGTAACGGCAACGGAGTCTTTCCTTGGTGCTGAGGAGGACATGGTGGTTAGGCGTGAACTCAATGGTAGAGATCAGCTGCTTTTTGATTGCTGTGCTGACAGCATTGCAAATGTGAAGGTAGTTGGTGTCATCTGGGAGGCCAGTGCCATCTCTTTCAATAACAATAGTACTGTTGAGTTTCCTCAAAACTTCACCACAACCACAGCAACCAAGACCCCATCATAAATTTTCTCAACAACCACCACTCCTCCTTTTTCCTGCACAGAGATTCCTGTTTAATAATTTACTTTAAACCTTGTCACCAATTTTTAGAACTTTATTCCTCCTTTTACCCCCATCTTGGCACAAAATCCTGGTTTTACCCCTATTTTTACCCCTGAATTGGCCTCCTCCACCACAGTACTCAGTGAGTTTGAGAGCTCCTGCTCTCAAATTTGCACAGCCTGCTGTTCTTTGCTAGCAGAGGCTCTTATTCAACTTTCAGCTGAGTAGCTCTTCTTTTGCATCCTCTGTTCACTTTTGTTTCTTTGTTTCCCTGTGTTGTTTGATTTT